GGCATCAGGCTTAACTAATTAGAAACATTAACGTATTGGGAATGATCTGGAGGTTTAGGGGCTAATGGCTCTGGTTCCCACGCTTGGAGCTGGGCAAAGCCCATCATTAGAGCCCTGAGCCTGCAAACAGCCTCACGTGAGTAATGCCTTTCCCATCAGAGTCAGGAATGCTGCTTGGCATGAGTCAGGAGCACCAAAGTGGGGGTTACATCCTCACATGGTATCACATGCCATGGTGCAGGGGGTGGGGGGGTGATAACCAGGGGCCCAAGCTCCAGGCAAGGCTGATCATCAGTATAAACTGCACCATGGAAAGGTGGATCTCTGAGAAAAACTGATGATGTGGCTGAAATCTTAGCAAGAGAGCAGCAGCCAAAGGGACAGGAGCTCTGAACTTAAGGACTTGGACACCAGGAGAGCTATAGACATGGATAAGTGGCTCATACAATGGTAAATCATCCTGGATGGTTTGGGTTGGAAGGCCCTTAAAGCTCATCCAGTTCCGCCCTCTGCCATGAGCAGGGACACCTTCCACTAGTCCAGGTTGCTCCAAGTCCTGTCCTGCAGTCACTTTGCAGTGGTTTCTTTGGGCAGCCACTTCACTTCCCCAAAGAACAGCAAAAGCCAAAGACAGGATGAACTCTGACCAGGGATGTTGTATTTGAATCCTAGGGGCAGAGAGAAGCTTTTTACACAGTCTATCAGCCACTTCCATCTGGAGACCTCCTGAGGATCAGCACAAAAAGGGCTCAGCACAAAAGGGTTTGCTGATAGACAAGGTACAGAAGGATCCCCCCAAGGGAATCTTTGGGAGAGAAACTCATGGGAGCAACACTGCCCCAGCATCCCAAGTCAGATAACTGTCACTTTCTCCCTAAAAATCCACTGCAGAGCTACGGGAGAGAAACTCATGGGAGCAACACTGTCCCAGCATCCCAAGTCAGATAACTGTGACTTTCTCCCTAAAAATCCATTGCAGAGCTATTACAAAGATCCTATTTCCCCTGCTCAGGAAACAAGAGTTGGAGAGGCAGCAGGAAGCCTGTTCAACATACACCAGGATATAAATCCATGGGAAAGTGGTGCCAGAACCAGGCAGCAGCTCCTGTGTGATGCTCCTGAAGGTCAGAAAGGCTCCCAGGGGCAGGAAGCCACTGGACTCTGCTTTTCAGACCATGCACAGCACAGGCTGACTCAAGAGCTGTTGGCTTTGCTGCCAGGCTATCCCTGACACAACCACTCCATTCCTGGAAAACCCACACCAGGCATGGGTAATTTCCACTAGCATCATCCACCTCCTCCACTCTGCCTGTGCCTGGAGCTCTCACAGCTGGGGAGAACCAAAAAACCTGTGGCTGAGAGTTTACTCTGAGCAGCTTCTCCCTCCGGAGCAGGAGCCTCCCATGGGAAAACACACACCTAGTGGTGTCAAGCCAGGTCCTGAGCATGAGCCAGGCTGTTCTCCCAGCAATCCCAGGCTGTTTGCATGTTGTCTCTCCTGACTAAGCAGTGCAGGACTGCAGGAATCTTGTCTTTCCAGCTGGGAAGCCTCTGGCATGATGCTGTGGATATGAGGCTCAGAGCTGGGGAAGAGATGCTCATCCAGGGTTTTCCCCACATACACTCAAGTGTGAGATGGGACAGAATCAAGTATTGCTCTCCCCTTACAAATTTTCCCACTTTTTTATCAAATCCACTATTGAAATCTCTTGTCCTATAGTGCTAGGCCAAGGAGTGATGGGGATAAAGTGAAAGGAGGAAATCTAGAAGGAGTTTTCCTGTTGATTCCAACCCCTTAACATGCTGTGAAATCTCACTGTAAACCCTCTCCTGCTCAGTTCTCCCAGCTTCCATGGAGCTCCCAATATTTGGGAACCAAACTAAAGCTATCAAAGGTACCAAGGCAAACCTGTGGCTTTTGAACAGTTTCATTTGGTTAATCAGATGAGGGAATCAATGAGATGAAGCCCAAGGAAGTAAAGCACTTCCTACCCATGCTGCAGTCCCAATATCACTTCAGTTCATTTAGGAGGAGATTTATAGATAAAATCCATATATTTTGCATTTCTTTCCCCAGCAAACAGGTCTACAAGCTACTAAAAAAAGCCTTTCACAGTTAGCAAACAAGACATAGATAAGGCAATTATTTTTCTAGTCGTATCAAAAATAAAAAAGCTCCTAATAAAGTGAAACTACCTTCAGGCAGGGAAGGGAGGGAGAAGTCTGGGGCTTGTTTTACCAGCAACAAAGCACCTGTGAAAGCCAAAACACCTGTGCTGGGAGCCAAGTTACACACATGGGCTGATCCAAGCAGCCACAAATGGGTGTTCACAGAGGAAAGAAGGTGGTTTGGTACACAGGAGGCAGCAGCACCCTGAGAGCTGCTCAACCCCCTCCCCAGCACATCACACTTTTGCAAACCACTCTGGATAGTCCCATAGCCCTCTAAGTTGCTGTCAAAGCGCCAAAATATTTACCAGAGAGTTTGTAGGTAAAGGTGACCCAAAAATAAATGTATTTCAAGGAAGCTCATGGGCATCAGCTAAATGTGCTGAGCTCTCTGAGCTCCCACACATGCAACTTGTTGACTTCATGCTGGGGTTTAATGCAAACCAGGTGTTTCCAGATGGGAATCTCCCCAGAAATATTCCTAAGAAACTTGCTTTTGATTCCAACATGGTCTGAGAACATATTGTTCACAAGCTTTGGGACTTTCTATCCAAGCCACTGCCTTTCTATTGGGGTTAGCTCAAAAAAGAAAAACCAGTGGCCTTTCTATTGGGGTTAGCTCAAAAAAAAAAAAAACCAGTACCATGTACTTGAGGGTTTAGTTCAGCTACTCCCAGCACTATAAAATTAAAACCAAAAAAAAAAAAAAAAAAAAGAAGCTGTTTTCTTGGACTCTAAGTTTCTTTCCATCTCATTTCAGTGACCTCAGCTCTGAATTGCCTGCAAGGACAGGGAGTTGTCACTGGGTTTGAGTTTCCCCAGTGCTGTGACACAGGACCTGGCACTGTGGGGGTTTGATTTCCTCCCAGTTTCAGGCTGCAGCAGTTTTACCTCACCCCTGAAGCCATTAGAAACTCTATCCCTTTCTTGCCACAAAGCCAAAGCTCCTGAAAACGAGAGTTTGTTCTGCTTTTCCTGAGGAAAAAAAAAAAGCAAAAAAAAAGCAGTTCTGAGCAGTAAATATGCTCCTTGCACCTCCACCTGAGACTCCTGAGCATCAGCCCAGCTCAAGCTGCTGCAGGAAGAGCTCAGCTCTTCAGTATCAGCATTTTCCTCTGATTTGGGGGAAAATTGGAAGATTTCCATGAGGGAACTCTGCCTCAGTTTCCCCATGGAGGTGTCGCTGAGGGTCCTGTGAGCAAAGCACCTGGAAAGCTGATAGAAATCAATTCCTGCAGAGTGAAAACCCACTAAGAAAGTATTTACACTGTTGATCCCAACCAGCAAAACTGGAGAGAGTAAAGGACTTGGCAGGAGCCTTGGTGGCCTGGGGAATTCCCTCAATCTTTGCCTTGCAGGAAGCCAATTTTTTTTCCCCCAGCTCTTTATTCCATTGCAATCAGCAAAGGAAACAAAAACCACATCCTCTCTCCCCATTCATAACCTGCTGCACCTGACCACGCTGTGCCTCTTATCTTCCCCTCTCCATGGCCTGT